TGTGTGTGTGTGTGTGTGTGTGTGTGTGTGTGTGTGTGTGTGTGTGTGTGTGTGTGTGTGTGTGTGTGTGTGTGTGTGTGTGTGTGTGTGTGTGTGCGTTGTAGGTCATGTCGTCTTTCTTCGCTACAGCCTTGTTGATTCCCTCGATGAACTTCTGAAAGTATGCAGTCAGGGTGGCCTCTGCAAGCTTCGGCAGAATCAAAAGCAAGCGAATGCTTGTGAAAGTCTCATGAATTCGTCCCACTGTATCTGGCGCCTCATCGAGCCTATCCCTGCTGCCCTTCCACATGAGCAAAAAGGCTGCAGGATCGTCGCAAGCTTCCCAACGCTCCACCTGCAATCCGACACGGTCATAGTGTGTAACATCGGCGCAGAGGCACCATCGTGCCTGGACGCCATTGATGGCGTCCGGCTTTTGCTCAATGATGCCCTTCGCAGCTGACGCCTGATCGGCCACCAGCCACCCCACCACTCTCCATTGCTGGCATGCCGGATTCCGACACAAAGTCTTTTTCTAGTTTAGTCAGCGCCTCGTTCAGCGTAACGGAGGCCATCGGGCGGCTCTTGTGCCGCTCGAGCTTCAGCAGCTCCACCTTGTCAATAGGTGCAGCTCGCCAATTCCAAGGGCCGTCAAGCAAATGTTTGCAAACTCTTGCGCCGGATGCACGCATACCCGAAACGAGCTGAAGGTGAGCAAGATGAAGGCCCCCGCACTACGCCCCGAGCGGACAGAAACAAAAGCACGTACGTAGAACGTCTGTACGGTTTCCATGATTTGGTTAATTTCCTTTGTTTTCCCTAGGAAAAACTCCATTGCCTCTGCATTTGAATAGGTTTTTCCCTAGGACCACTCTATTGCCTCTGTAGTTTTTGAAAGGATTCCTACAAATTTTCATGGGATTCGCATTAAGTTGGTCAATTTCCTGGGTTTCCTTAGGAAAAATTCGTTCTTCCTGTTCTTCCTGTTCTTCCTTTTCGTCCTTTTCTTCCTTTCGTCCTGTTCTTCCTTTTCTTCCTGTTCTTCCTTTTCTTCCTTTTCTTCCTGTTCTTCCTTTCTTCCTTTCTTCCTTTCTTCCTTCTTCCTTTCTTCCTTTCTTCCTTTCTTCATTTCTTCCTTTCTTCCTTTCTTCCTTTCTTCCTTTAATCCTTTCTTCCTTTCTTCCTTTCTTCCTTTCTTCCTTTCTTCCTTTCTTCCTTTCTTCCTTTCTTCCTTTCTACCTTTCTACCTTTCTTCCTTTCTTCCTTTCTTCCTTTCTTCCTTTCTTCCTTTCTTCCTTTCTTCCTTTCTTCCTTTCTTCCTTTCTTCCTTTCTTCCTTTCTTCCTTTTGTCCTTTCTTCCTTTCTTTCGTAATTTCTTATTTCTTTCTTTTGGTTATGAGTATGTCGTTCGTTCTCTTTCGCTATTTCTCGCTTTTTATTGATTTATTTCATTACCTTTCTTTCTCGTTCTATCTCTTTCTTTCTCTTTATTTCTCTTTCTTTCTCTTTATCTATCTTTCTTTCTCTTTCTTCATCTTTCTTTGTCTTTATTTCTCTTTCTTTCTCTTTCTGTCTCTTTATGTCTCGTTATTGCTCTTTCTTTCTGTCTTTGCTATCGTTCTTTCTTATCGTTCTCTCTTTCTTTTATTCTTTCCGTATTTCTTTCTTTCTGTATTTCTGTCTTTCTTTCTTTCTTTCTGTCTGTCTTTCTTTCTCTCTTTCTTTCTTTCCGTCCTCTTCTTCCCCGATCCTAAGGCCCCCCTCTCTTCGAGACAGTAGCAAAACGTAGAGAAAATAGATGTTTTTCTGGCAAAACATAGAGAGAAAATAAAGGTTTGCCTCCAAAAATATAGAGAAAAAAAGGTTTTCCTCCCCCCACAACTCTGAAAAATGAACGAAGAAGACACCCTCCCTTGTAAACTGAGGGTGCTTAGCAATGGGAGGGTCAGCCTTTGTTCTTTACACTCTGTGACAAGCGAAACTATCCATATCTGTGGCCATCTTGGCAATACTCGAAAGGCAGGAGCAACATGTTTCACACAGCGGCTTGCTCAACACGAACCTGTCAAGCTCATCATGATGAATCAGCTAACTCGTTGGGAAGATCGTAAATGCGACGATGTTCAGCACATGCGCATGCCTCTCACACGCGCACGCACACTCACGCACACGCGCACCGGGACACAACGTACATGCACCGGGACAACGCGAGAAAAAGTCTGCACAGGTGTCTCGGGCCTTGGTGTCTGGGATCACCGTGAGCCTCAGGATTGGCAAGCCTTAACACTGCTGCTGAGACCTTGAATGATTTGTGCATCCGTGGCGCGAATAAGCTGGTGGTGCAGGGACTGCGGATGCCTGCACTCTCTTGGCACACACACACACACACAGACACATCAAGTGCACCCGCTGCACATGGCAATTCTGCCAAGTTGCCGAAGCTGTCAGCTTATGTGAAATGTTCGAACTCTCCTGCTTCGCACCAGGAAGTCGTTTGGCACTCACGGTCGCAGAGGTCTCGACCCTCTGCGATCTATCCTGCTCCAGAGGAGAGCTATCGGCAGTCAAGGAAGGCTGCGTCTTCCCTGACGCATCCTGCTTCGCACCAGGTGTCGCCTTCACATCCAAGTTGACGTTGACAGAAGTGTGTACCGCCTGGGATCCGTCCTGCTTCGCTAAGGGAGGACTGGCTCCCCTGGCACCACTGGCTTCCCTGTCCGATTCCTTTTGTTCTTTTTGTGCCTTCTGGGGGCTGTCCGGGCTGTCTGCTTTGGCAGCGTCCAATGCATCCAATGCATCGGTAAATCTGTGCATTGGACCATCCGTTGCAGCCAAGGCCGAGGGTTGGCTTTGGCCCGGGCCATCGTGCATTTTGCTTGGACCCGTGTCCGCAGCATCCATCTTCGCACCAACCGCATCCACCACGTTGGCCGAAGTCTCCTTTCGCAGGTCATTCACGGGACTCTGTACATCCGGCATGCCCTTGCTATCCAGGCTCTGCACCAGAGAAGCATTTGACTTCATGTCACGGTCCATGCTCAAGGAAGTGTGTGCTGTTCTTTGTGACTCATCAATCTGTGCACCAGCCGAGTCTTCCTTGTCCACTGCGACAGATGTGTCTGCCTCCTTCGCACCAGGCACCAGTGTGGCTGTGTCGTCGATCTTTTCAGAAATGGGTACCTTTCGCGGCGAATCCTGCTTCGCACCAGATTCGCCCTCACTGTCCAAACTGGCTGTTGTCTGCACCCTCTGCACATCGTCCTTCTTCTCATCTGGAATGCCATTTCTCGCTGGGCTGGCATTTTGCAGCTTACTCGAGCTGTCCTGGTCGTCGGGGAGCATGCTGTCGCTGTCCACTCTCGGCTGATCCTTGACTATGACTAATCATCGGCGCTTAAGGTACCCAAGATGTACCGAGCACAATTGGCCTCTTGAGTGAGTGTCTCACGTGCAAAAATGTACGGCCCAACCCTGAAGTTTGTCCTGCCGCTGCGTTCGCTAGATCTCCGCATGTCCGCAGAGTTTTAACAGACCCAAGCAACCAAGAACCTAACTCACCTTGCCAGGCGGCCTTTGTTCGAAGCTCCAATCGGGCTGCAATTTTCCTTGCTTCCTCAAGTGCTGCAAGTGATGTCAGTTGTGCCGCCACCTGCAGTCCAAGGGCTCGAGCATGTCACATGAAGAAAATTAAAAAAATGCTGCAGCAGCAGCAGCAGCAGCAGCAGCAGCAGCAGCAGCAGCAGCAGCAGCAGGAGGGTTGGCACACATGCTGGGTGCCTTCTCGGCCTGCTTCAAGTAGTCCTCCCCCTGCTGCTCGCAAGGCTCCTGATGCTCCGAACCTGTGGAGTTCATGGCGATGTCTGCGGCCGGAGTGGCCGTGGCCGTGGCCGTGGCCGTGGCCGTGGCTGTGGCCGTGGCTGTGGCTGCGCTGGCTGCCGCGGAAATCGACTCTACCGCATCTCTGCCCTTCCTAGGTATGGGCGCTTTGTCAGACCCTCTGGCTCTGGCATCCGATACGTTTTGTGGATCCCGTGCGGAAGGCTTGGGGCTAGGACTCCTCTTGGCCGGAGATCTTTGACTTCCGGATCTTTTTCGCTTCCTGCTTCGAGATCCCTTGCGGGATTTTCTGCTTTGCGATCTTCTGTTGGTAGACCTCTGCTTTGGAGATCGGCGCGTGTTATTCCGGGACTTGCTACTTCCAGACCTTCTGCTCCTGCATCGTTTCTTTGATTTGCTCTGCGGAGAGGTTCGCCTTCTATCCGTGGCATCACGCTTATCTCGCTTGTGCTTGTCCTTCCCATCGCCTTTGTCGAGCGTTAACGTCTCCCACCACTTGCCTTCACCAGAACCTGGAGCCCGCGGAGCCCGAGATGGATCGCCTCTTCTCCGCTCGATCGGCGAACGCGGCGAACGCGGCGAACGCGGAGATCGCTTGTCGATGCTTCTTGCCCTTCTCTGAAGTGTGTCATTCTCCCTCTTCTCCCTGTTGTCCCTATTGTCCCTCTTGTCCCTCTTGTCCCTGCCGCTCTTCAGCCGTGGGAGAGGCTGCCTGCGCTCACGTGACCAACTGCGGGACTTGCCCCGGGGCCGAATCTTGCCTCCGTCTTTGCCAGTCAGGGTGCCATCACCCCGCCTGTCCTTGACTAGCTCAGAGGAGCTATCAGGATGCTTCTTTCTTGAATGTCTCCGTGTTCTATGCTTTTCTTTCTTTTCTTGCTTTTCTTTTGTTCTTGGTGCGCTGCCTGAAGACGAGCGCCGCTTGGAGTCCTGCTTTGGGACGAGCCTAATCGGCTGCATGTCGGGGCTGGGATCTGCGGCTTCTGCCGCCTCTGCAGCCTCTGCGGCCTCTGCGGCCTCTGCGGCCTCTGCGGCCTCTGCAGCCTTGCCGCCATCCCTGCTCGCGGTCTCCTCATCCTCGTGCTCGATCTCACCCTCCTCTCGCTCTTCCTGCTCGTCCTCTTCCTCCTCATCCTCCTGCTCTTCTGCTTGCTCCTCCTGCTCTTCCTCCTGCTCCTCATCCTCCTCCTCCGAGGATTCCCCCTCCCCAGCCTTTTCCTCGGCATCTTTACCTTCCCCATCCTTCTGTGATTCGCCAGCCTCATCATCAGCTTCTGACTCCTCCTTCTCATCGGATGCCTCCCCCTCTTCCTTCTGCCTCATGTCCACTTTCTCCTCCTCACTACCCTCACTACCCTTGTCCTGAGTCTCAGCATCCTGCTTCCCCTTGAGCTGTTCTCCTTCTTCATCGTCACTCCTCTGCCTCCTGTGGCCGCCATCCTCAACATTCCCTTCGGGATAGTCCTCTCACAGATTGATCTCACTCGGTGCAATCGGTCAGAATTGCACTCATGCGAACTGCTGACTGGTATCCTCAGAGTTCTCAGCAAAAGCTGCCGACTGCATGGGCCTCGTTGACTAGCAGTGACCAGGAACTCGCCAGGCTTACACACCATCACTAGAGCATTGCATTGCCAAACTCACTTAAAATCATTCACGGTGCTCATCCGGCAGTTCTGGCACCGTGGGGGCTAGAATCTCCAAGCCACCATCCTGACGTGCGACGGGCCACTAGCAGATGTGTTTGACGCTAGCAGATGTGTTCAACAGTTGAACAGCGCTTGGGGTAGAGATGGCTAGAGGCCTATGGCTAATCCCAGGTTAAGGGCTTTCCGGACTTTCTGTCCTTCGGGCCCTTGTCCTGTCGGCGGCGCTTCGCTTTGCCTTGACAGCGATCCGAAAGGCGATCTGACCATCTGACACGCGAAGCGCAAAGCGACACTTTCAGGCCAGCGGCGGAGGGGCTTGTGGAGGACTGCTGCGAGACCTTTGAAGTGCAGAGCTCCACTGTTGACTGCTGGCCGTATCTTGCCATGCGATTGCCATGCTTTTGCCATGCTTCCACTTGAAAAAAAGCTGGGCACAGCACCATGCTGAACAAGCTCCAAATATTTGGAGCTCCTCGGAAGTTGCAAGCTCTAGCCGCTAGCCAGCAACAGGCACTAAGAACATCCTACAAAACAGGCTGCGTGCCTCCTTTCCATGACATGGCACTGAAGACCAGAAGCTCGCAGCGATGGAGCCAACTCTTCTACCTCGCTACGCAATGCTGCACAAAGCTGCTCAACGAAGCTTCAAGGGTACTTTGGCCCAAACCTCCGGGTAATGGCCTTCCACATAGAACAGGGCAGCCTGAGGGACCAAAGCTTGCGAATGCTGCGCGGAAACATCTAGGAGCACTGCGAAAGCGTATGCGAGCAATGAGGCTTGGGCCAGGCACGACTCTTCGTGCGCTCGGAGGACCTGGAGCAGCGACGAAGCCGCTATCAACGACAAAAAACTCCGAGTGGTCTGAGCACATTGCGTGGGTACAAAGACAAATGGTTATGAGTTCACTTCACTCTCTTTACTCCGACGAAGTTGGTACCGGCAAAGACAAGGCCAACTGCTTTGTCAGAAGGGCTCCGGCTTGGGAGAAGATGGCATGCGCACACTTTTTTCCCATGCTGTGCACAGTGAAAAGTCCCAAGCCGCTGCAGTTTGCTAGTTCTACTCTTGTGCATCATGTCTCGGCCAGGATCGCTCTGCGCTGGGTCGGGATTGGCCTCGATAGCCCAGGCCTGGCAACTGCCGCAGAACTCGCGGAGATTTGCCACTGCACTTAAGTCTAAAGAGGGTCCAACACGAGGATCCAAGCATAAGCCTTGAAGCACTTCTCGAAGCTTGCACCTCCGGGCAAATGATAATTTGTGAAGTGGCATTGGTGAAATGGCGGAGGTCCTGTCGCGCCTCCTTTTTTTGCGATTTGACCTTCCCCCAAGCCAAGCCGCTGTGCCACTGTCCTTCGGCTGGCGAACCGAGAGAGCTCTCATTAAAGTATGCAATGAAATGCCGCTGCACCTCCAGGCACAAGCTCAGGTGCTTATCGAGTATGATGAAGCTGAAGTCCAACAGACCCTGCAGTCGTTTGGGCGTTGAAACATTCAGCAAACCAACGTGCATTGCCCTGGTGACGGAGGCAAGACTACTGCTGGGTCTGTTCTTTGGAAAGGAACACCTTACCTCCTCCAAATATCCAGCAGCTATATCATCTCTCGCTTCCCCCAAACCTCTAGGCCATATATCTCGTCAGAGCCATGCGAGCAGCTGTGCTGCGGAGGAAGAATGCGGAAGTTTGACTCATCTTCACTTGCCAGAATAAGAAAGCTGAAGTGGAGCCTCAAACCCTGGCTCGTGTGGTCACCGTCCAGCCGAGTGTTGGAGACCTGAGTCTGCATTGATCACGTAAGATCGCTCATCCCAGCTCGTCTCAGCTTTGCAATAATCTCCTTTTCTGTGAGGCCGCTAAGCTCCGCTGGGACCTCTCATCCCAGCTGAGCGAGTCTCCGAATGCATATGCTGCGTCTGCGAACATACTGTGCACACGCAATGAGCACGCAGTGAACACGCAGTCTACTGAGATACAAAGCCCTGGTGTTGCAAGGGTGGGACCGCCACTGAGCGTCCACCCTCAAATTGCGCCATATGTACACACCAGCTTAAATGGCATGAGCGAAAGGCGCAGGAAAAGCCATGAGCTTGTGCAGATCCAATTATGGAACGGTAGTTGACACTCGAGTGCGCTTTGCCAGAACTCCATCACAGCTGGACACTCCTGCTAGGCAGCAAACAAATCTAAACAGCAGCTTTGTTGATCATTGCTGCAGCTCTGTGTGTCAACTACAAAAACGTAGATATATTGAATTTGAGTTTGTGCACGTCACATCAATGCAAGGAGAGCAGGCATAGAAAGCCGTGTAAGGATGACTGTACAAGAACGCAGCAACGCATGTCTTGTACAAGCCAGCAAACAGAGCAAGACAGAGCATCATTGATCATTCATGATCATTGACACGGCGGTCCCAATGCGAGAATGGAGCCGCGCCGACAGATTGATAGCAGCTACTATCCCCATAGCAAAGCCTCGACAACCCACTACTCTGAGCTGGGCAATCGGGCAAATTCAAGAAAACAGCACCACAGCGCGCTAAAAAGGTGACATGAGCGCGTCAGTAGACGTGACTGCACAAGGTGCGCACACATTCGAGGTTCAGAACCCTCCCATTGACCCAGCCAACGAGGAGCTACTTCCATCAGACGTTGAAGCATTGGCCACAGAATCATCACTCAGGATACCCTGGCGCAGCATTCGGCTAAGCACACCACGCCATGAGCACATCATAGACAAGATTCAAGATCGACACCCGCTTCTCCGGGCCTTCCTGCTCCTTCGTCTTTGGTAGAGAGGGGACTTGTCAGGAACTTAGTCAGCTTCACTCTCAATAGAACTCAGCAAGCCAACTGTCGCTGTCGAGCACAGCTTCAGAAATTCCTCAGAAAGCGACGAAGTGCTTGATCTTCTTGGAGAACCTGAGGAGCATCTTCTGCATTAACTATGCACAAAGCAACAGAGCAGAGAAGCATCAATGCAGCTGCGTGTTATGTGGCAATACAAGCAATGAATGCCCTCTATTTGCCACGAAGTGACAGAAGGGCGCTTCGTCTTTAAATCCATGGCCAAGACGGGTGGTAGAATGGTCCTGTGATGCTACATGTGACAACCTGCAACTGAACCAGAAACGCTCACTTGCATGTCCTTGGGGAAGAAGCTTCGCTCTGGCATTCGGAACCACTTTGGTGATCCTCCGCTTGCCTAGCACGCGAGTCCCTTGCCAAGTAATGCAAAATGCAACACAGCAGGTGGATGAGGCCCTTGCAGCTTCTCTTCCTGACCCAGCAAAACGGGTGGCATGCCTGTTCAGAAATCGAAAAGTAAGACGCGGCAGCAAAGATTTATGCTGACTTCAAGGGAGCTGGGAGGTCCGTCCCCGAGTCCGGCATCCCTGGCCTGAAGCAGAGCTGGGCACGGGCGGTGTAGCTTCCTGAGCTTCCAGCAGAACGAACGCACACGAGGCTTGACAAGCCTGACGAACACAGCGCTTGACAGCACGCACCCCACTCCCCCAACAATTCCCCCAATTTGGGAAGATCGAAGGTACCACGCTTCTTCCCCACCCACCCACCCACCCACACACCCACACACCCACCCACACACCACCCACACACCCACACCCCCACACACACCCCCACACACACACACACACACACACACACACACACACCCACACACACACACACACACACACACACACACACACACACACACACACACACACACACACACACACACACCCACACACAACACAACACACACCACACACACACACCACAACACACACACACAACACACACACACACACACACACACACACACACACACACACAACACACACACACACACACACACACACACACACACACACACACACACACACACACACACACACACACACACACCCACACACACACACACACACACACACACCACACATCTCACACACACACAGACACACACACACCACACCCACACCCACACCCACACCCCACACCCACACCCACACCCACCCCCCACCACCACCCCCACCCCCACCACCACCCCCCACCCCCACCCCACCCCCACCCCCCACCCACCCACCAACACCCACCCACCCCACCCCCACCCCCCCACACCCACCCCCCCCACCCCCACCCCCACCCCCACCCCCCACCCACCCCCCACACCACCACAAAAAAAAAAACCCACCAACCCACCACCCACCCACCCACCCACCAACCACCCACCCACCCCCCACCCACCCACCCACCACCACCACCAACCCACCCACCCCACCCACCACCCCCCACCCACCCACCCACCCACCCACCCACCCACCCACCCACCCACCCACACCCACACACACACACACACACACACACACACACACACACACACACACACACACACACACACACACACACACACACACACACACACACACACACACACACACACACACACACACACACACACACACACACACACACACACACACACACACACACACACACACACACACACACACACACATACCCACACACACGCACAACACGAAGACTGTCTCTACAAGGCAAGCTAAGTACTACGAGCAAGAGTAGATGCACCCCTGCTGCCTGTGGGGTCCGTCAGATCTCAATCAGCCCTCTCAAACGACACACGATGTGACTGCGACTGCGCACAACGTGAAATGATTGCTGGGCAGCCACTTCTGCACTGGGTTGATCTGAAAAAGAGAACCGCCTGCTCGCTGTCTAGATGCACAGCACACAGCTGCCCAGGCAACCACGGAGAAGTAACGAACCTGCCACGCCGCGCCTCAAAAAAGACGACCGGCTCCCATAGGCAACCTTGATACCTTGTTGGATTCGCTGGATGCAAAAGAAGCCCTCGGCAGGTTCTTCTAAGCTGCTGAAGAACGTCAAGCCAGGTCGCTCTGACGAGAGGGCGCGAGAAGGCTGTCCGACCAAGAGTTGGACACCATCCTAAGCTGGCTAGCCTTTGCACAAACCTTCCGCGCATGCTGCATCCTATGTGGAAGTTCTGAAAAACCTGCCTTGTCTAAGCCAAGAAGCGACTGACCACCCGTCCAGATATTGGTACATTCCCTGGAGCAACTAGATGGCCGCAAAGACTGGTCCCCATTGTGCAGCAGCGGGACTGAGACTGCGGCAGATCATCCATGAGCGTGCTGGCCCTGTGACAGACAGATGAAGCCGATGAAACCGACTGCAGGTAGCTCAGTAGCTGGATCATGCCACATTATTCCGAAACGAACGGAAACCGAAGACTCGCCACATGCCCCAATTGATCGATGGACGAAGCAGGAGCACTGAAGAGAAATCACACCGTATGCAATCCGAGCTCTGATAACCCTGGGGTTGCCACCTGGGCCCTTTCCAGGAATTGCACGTTGAGCTGCCTATCACCAGGTCCAGATTGAAGCGATCCGGTCCACAAGGCATCATGAGAGCGCGCCTGTGAAAAGCTCTAGCGAGCAAACCTCAAAAGTCGTGACCGCAACAGTCCTGGGACATGCCTTGAGCTTGCTGCCGGGCAAGACCATTTAAGCGGCTTGCCGACACCCTCCCACTGGATCGGCGCCCCTCTTCTCGTTCAAGTGGCACCTCCAGCATCGGCCAATGGATCTGAAATTGTGACATACCTTCCCCCCCCATCGAATAATAACACATTGACGAGCCTGCGGCAATAACTCCATCAGCTGCTGCCACCTGGCGGTCTTTACAGGTTGACCTCTGATCTTCCTTTCGGCAGATTTGGCAGTTTATGTCGTGTCGAAACTGGACAAATCACGAAGACAGCGCTGTGCTAGACAGAAGCAACGACTCACACATTCGGGCTGGAAGGGAGGTTCATGCACAAAAGGACACCAACTACAAGGTTGCTGTAATGATGTTATGTTGCCTTCGTTTGAGGACCTTACATGAGCTTTACATGCAACAGCTGCGGCCTTCACAAGTCATAAGCGCAGTCCACCTCCTGGCCTTTTTGTCCTGATTACTGACCGGTTTGTAGGGTAGTTGGACCTTGCCTGACTCAGTAGTTGCTTTGGGGTAAAGAAGCACGTGTCTTCACACTAACCCGAATGAAGTGGTCCTGCAAAACCCTAGAAGACGAAACCTTCCCGAGTCTTGTTGCATGGGCTCGTCATCTTCCACGCTCAAGATTGCTGCCAATGCATCTGAGAGAATTGCATCTGAGACCAGAAAGCCTCTGGGCGGTAACAGGAACGCGGTGAGGCTGCAATGGCCGTCATCGCTTGAGCAGGCCATGCTAACATCGCCCGATTCCTCCCATGACTGCAATGCCCGTGCCACTGCCAGAAGGTACGGCACAGCGCGGCCATTTGCATCCATGTTGATGCCTTCCAGCGTGCGCAGGCCAAGCATAACAGCTTCGAAAATAGCATCATGCAGGTGGTCGCGCTGGGAAGAGTCAAGTTCGAGCATTGATGTTGGAGCGCCACGTTCAATCCAATCACAGTACTCGCCCAGCTTCCTCGGACGAGTTGCGCGCAATCCTGCCACAAATGAGGCAGCACCATTCCCAAAAGCTGCATACGGCCTGCGCTTCCAGTATGCCTGATTATGTCGTGACCGCAATCGGCTTGGACTCTGTCCAACTAAACGTGCAAAGTTGGAGATCTCATAGTGCTCAAAGCCTAGGGCTTCCATCTCGTTATGTGCAGCTTCATAGAGTTCGGCTGCAACCTCCTCGGTGGGTCTGCCCGACTCTCCAGGGCTGGGAAACCGTCTTGCAAAATCTGTGCCCTGTTCATACTGCAAGTCATAGACTGATAGGTGGTCGACCCCCAACTCGCTCAACTGGCGCAGCTCGGATGTGAGCTGCTCTTTACTTTGACCCGGAACGCCGCACAGGATGTCTGCGCTGATGTTTTCGAACCCGGCCAGCCGCAAAGTCTGAATCGCCTTTCTGGCTTCTGTTGCGGAGTGTCCTCGTCCACACCGATGCAATATCTCATCGTCTAGACTCTGAACTCCCACACTTGCCCGCACTACACCACAAGAGGCCAAGTGGCGCGCCTTCTCAGCTGAGAATGTCCCGGGATCCATCTCCATGGTGATTTCACAGTTGGCATCGAACCCGAAGCGATCAGACAACAATGTGAGAAGCTCCTCAAGCTTCGAAGCAGGAAGGAGGGACGGTGTGCCACCACCGAAGTACAAGCTTTGCAATGGCTCACTGTCAAAGGTACTTTCCAAGCTTCCCGAGCCGCCCGTCAAGATTTCTGATTTCAATGCAGCTAAATATCTACTAACCCGGGGTCGCTCAATGTTCTGGCCCGCAACGTCGATCGGGAAATCGCAGTAGTGACAGCGCTGTCTGCAAAATGGTATGTGCACGTACGCGGCGCGCACGCGACGTGGGCTGCTCATATCCTCTGGAAAGCACACTTTGTCGGCCTTACTACCTGATACCTTGCACTTCTTGAATGCTCGCTGCCGTGTAAGAAGAACAAAAGCAGATGCGAGGGAGCATGGTACAAACGATCCCAGGCCGCAAAAGCTTGGCCTGTCTCGTGCCGTTGTCCATCGACATGTGCGCAAATGGTGCAGACGGCATGCGGGCCTCTTGAGAGGGGCCTTCGGGGCCACAGCAACACTAACTGGGGATACCGTTTGCATTCTACAAGCTGAAAGCCGCTGCGGGCAGAATCAGGACGCCTTCAACTAAGACTAAGATAAGTGCAAAGTGACACTGATGTCGCACTGCGTGGAGGGCCTCTGAACCTCATCTGCCGGCGGAAGCAGCAACGGAATGCCCCAGTCCCTCACAACCTGCAAGTTCGGCAGATTACAGCATCGGGTCCGACTGTCCGACTCAACAGATTGCTCCTTCCTGCCTCCTCGTCATCGGTAAAGGAGCCTCGAGTGGGAGCTAGGCTTTTCCTCTTCCCGCGCAATGAGATGCCTGAGGTCCTTAGTCACATCTCTGAAAAGCGCGAGCTTCAGTTGAGCCTCGCCTTTGGTTGCTTGTGGCTTCGAGCCTATGTTGTTAGAAACTGCACTATGTATGATTTCTGAGCCCATGCTAGTGTAGGTCCGTCGGCTGCAGGCCTCTGCCGTATGGGGGCAATATTGGCGGTTTTCGCGGGTCTGTGCTGGGACTCCACCAAGGCGCCTGTGGGCCAGCTGAATTTGTCTTGCATCCAGATAGCTTTGAGAACTAACGACCTACCATGTTATGTTTTGTTTCTTTCTGTTTTTTTTATTTTTTTTTGGGGGGGGGGGGGGGGGGGGGGGGGTGGGTTGGGGGTGGCGGCTCTTACTTCATGAAGCACCCTCAAGTACTAGCAAAGCACGTGCTCTGAAGAGTAGTTTTGAGCACAAAGCACCTCGAGGGTTGAGTCCTTCTTCTGGACTCAAGCGAAAAAAAACGATAAACAATCAGAATAGCCAACGCAGCATTATCGCCTGTAGCCCTAGTAGCTATTGCTGTCGACATTTGCTGCCCCAGTTGTAGCATTGTAGCTCTTGCTCTTGCTGGTCTTGTTTTTCTGCTTGCTACTGCTGTTCACTGATGCTAGCACAATCGCTCCGCTGTCATGCGGCTGGACTTTTGAAAGCCTCCAGAGTGATGCCATCTGCTTGCCAATTCGAGACTCATGCGGAAACCCCATCAGGGACTGAGCACATGCTGGTTGATCTGGGTGCACCACTGCAAAAACCATCCATCTCCCAAGGCGATGCCGGAGCCTGGCATCCAGCAAGCACTGCAAGCAATACATTCAAATAATTTCCAAACAATTTCAACTCATTAAATGGCAATACAGCGCTCTGATGGAGCCTGCTTCCCGACCCATGTCAATGTCATTGCCCAAATCACTGACGTCTGTGTACTCCTCCTCGTATCCTGCATTGCGCATTCATGTTTCTGTTCTCATTTCAATGTCTCCAGGCGTCGCTACACGGCCGGCCTTGCAAAATTGACCATTCCTTCTTTGCTCGTACTGCTTGCAGGGCCTCCTCAATCAAGGCTTGACTGGAGCAAATCATTGCAGGGCTTCGGGTGCAACAGCAATGTAGCTGGCTCCGTATGAACATTCGAAACGACTCCGCTGAAACGGGGACGAATGGGAAAAGCGCCCATCTTTTTTTAGGGGAGGAGTTGGGATCTATACTCTTGGGGTGAATGAGAGTTCGCCTTTGCAGCCGATAATATGGTTGGACCTGGACGACCTTCATTTACTGCAAACAAAGCCCGTAGCAGGGGAATGCGGAGAACAGACGTTCGTGTAAACGGACGTTCACGCAGGCCTCACGGCGGACCACAGCAGCAGCGCGGCTCCTCAAACAAATCACACTCTGAGACATGCATTTACAGGTTGTTTACTCTAACACCAACTGAGGGACTCTTGAGCATTCTTGAGCATTCTTGTGCAGGGTCCTCAAGCCAAACCGAATCGGAGGTGGCGGCAGACCCACTTCCGGGCTCAATTGCTTGTCTGGGTGCATCACTGCCATACGACGAACAGCGGCTGCTGCCGTTCTCTCCAATTGCTCCACAGGGTCGTCTTCAGAAGACTCGCTGTCACTTGGAGGTGTCAGCTGCGGGCAGAGCACCATGAAGTGCCCACCAAAGTTAACCTTCTCTACATTGTTCCTACATGTGCCACAAGGTATGAGGGCCAACGCACCACCCACACAATCGGCATGGGAGACAATCATGAAGTTGCGGTGAACTGCATAACCCCGTTTCACATAGTCCACGAACCTGGCAGCAAATCGCTGTCTGGCTCCCTTCAAGGTCTCTGGCCAAACTGGCCATTTACCAAGAATCTTGCGCACCTCTAGAGTAGTCACTCCTTGGCTATGGCAAAAGTCCGCACTCTGCTGAAGTGGCCGCACTGGGCTTGCTGGCTCCTCGTCTTGCATGATGCAGGGCCCATAGATCTCGCCAAGAGAGTTGTCAATGAGAAGCTTCGTGCGTTTTCCGAACGCTTTGCAAATGCAGGCCGCCGTCTGAACGCAGCGGAGATAAGGCGATGTAATGACAACGTTTAGCTCTGCACCCAGCTCGCACACGGCCCGGTGCAGCTTTACTCCGAGTTGTTCAGATGCGGCGAGGCCCGCATCGCTGAGAGGGGGGTCATATGGCCACTGCTTCGAGTCCTGCATCAAACACCAAGGCATACCCTGGATTAGCGCACCCATGTCATCCGCCCGCTCTGCGTGGCGACACACGGCCAAAAACTGGAGAGGCGGCCGGTTCTCAACTTCATTCTGTGGTGAAACTGGCTCCATTGCATGTAAGGGCTGCTGAGCCGATCAGCATGACATGCACGCGACGCGGACATAGCAACAGAAACGTTCAACAGTTCATCCTGCCAAGACAGCTTCCAAGGGCCTCACGTTGACACGTTTCTGCTAGACCAGACCAAGATGGTCGAACGATTAGAGGAAGGTCATGCAACGCATGTCGTGGAACACACAGGGGCTTCGGCGAGAACCAGCCACCGCTTCAAGAAGTCCAGTCCTGGTGAAAGCAAGAGACCTAGTCTGCGTGTCTTTTGGCATCACAAAGTACCTCGCACGCGGTTGACTTCCAGCTGTAGGAATCTCGGTCTGGGTATGTTGCTCAAAAACTTCTTCCTGCGCAACATGGTCACTGTCTTTAAACCACTCATCTTTGCATGCAGAACGGCACAATGCTTTTTAGGGGAAGGGTGGGGATGGGAATGCTCTCGTGACAGCAGCGAATGTAACGAATGTAAAGGATAAGACACATTTGATTACAATACGTTCGAATAGGCGTCTCCTACCGCAGCAGTATGCTAAACGAATGTGAGCCTTGAGCCTTGCACAGCCAAGGCTCAGCCCTGTAGCCGGGGAAGCGCATGGAAGCGCCCATCGCCTACGAGATTTGCGCAGCTTGGATGCCCAAAACTCAGCGGAGCTGTCGGAGGCCAAGTGCACCAAGTGTAAACGTAAGGCACAAGCATCAAACTTGGCTTGGCCACTCCATGGCGCGATGGCGAGGCATTGCGGGAGGTTTGCAAAGCCGAAGACTTCGTGCGCTTACACATCAAGGATGCCTTCATGGAGTTCCGAAGATGAACAGCCGGTGCAGCAAAAAGTCGCCAACAAGTCGTTCACTTAAGCCAAGAAAGGTGCCCAAGACTCATTTTTTCAAGCTTGCTGGGAATTGCAAGGCTCGGATATGTCACAACTGCCTCAAGCTCCAATCATTCTAATCCAAAATACTCAACGCAACCAAAAGAGATTTGCCCAGGGCCTGCTTGGCACCGAGAGCCACTAGGCCAGTCCCGCCCGTACGCAACTGCTGCGACAAAAACTGCAGGCAAACCTCTGCACAGCAGAACATGATTTTGCTGTGCCCCCCATTTAAGTGAAGCTGGAAAAGCGCAGTGAAGGACGCGAAAACGGAGAATTGCTTCATATTGCTGCCTCCTCCTCCTGCCGCTGCGCAGCCTGACAAGAAGCTTCTTGCAAGGCAAGAGCCCAGAAGCCAATTACAAAAAAGAATCCAAAATAGTCCGATCTTGGGCTCCGACAGTCATCAGATGACTCTCACACCATGGCTGCAAAATTCATCTCGCATGAGCTCCACGAATGGCTTTACCATGTTTAACCATCCACTTGTTAAGACTGACACACTCTTGCCAGGCCTCCGGCTGAAGCCTACACTCCCCCGCTTCTCACATTGTCTCACTTTTGTCCCTTAAACCAACAGCTTCAACTTTTCAGCTTCACTGATGGTGACGGTCTGTGGCAAACGTGCTCGGGGAGCTTACGCTTGGCAGTGAGCATCAGAGAGCCCAATTTTGACTGGTAAAACTGCCGGTGCTCGATCGGTAGGGTCTCGACTCTACATGAGAGCTATGCAGGAACCGCTGAAATTGAAAAATCCTCTCTCTCTCACGCATGCGCACATGCTCTCTCTCCCCACACATTTCTGGAAACTGTTCTCGCTGAGCAAATGGCATGCATTCGACATGCCTGGAGAAGCGTTGACATCGCAGAATCCCTGGAATCTATAGGAAAATCAGATGGAAGCGATGCGATGGAGCTTGGCAAATGAGCTCCAAGGGATGCAACGCGGCCGGTATGAAATGGTATGAATCATATGCCCAGGGTCAGGCCATCCCCGGTCTACTTGAAGAGGGGGCTTCACGTGCTTATTACCCTCCTTTATCATCCTTTCTCTCGTACGGTCCGGGGGCTTCAAACCGCAGATGGTTTCTCAGCCTTTTTTGGGTAGTTTTTCAGAGGTACGCAGAAGTGAGATCTTTTCTATCTATTCCTTCCGGGATCTGGGTTCCTCCCCTGGCTGCGGTTTCGGAACGGCGGAACGGCTTTGGGAGCCCCGTTCCCCATTTGCTCCAAATTCTCCGTATATTTCCAAATACTTCAAAGCATAGAAAGCATAGAGTCAAGTGCTCTCTCGAGCTACTTGAAGCGGCTACTTTTGAGTCTCCAGCACTTACGTCTGGTGCTAAAGTGCACGAAGACTGCGACTTCAAACAAATTGTGCCGGATCGACATGCTGGATTGCACAGGTATGACCTGTAGAGACTCTACTTTTCAGAGCTCAGCTTATGATGAAGCTTTTGAAGCGTTGCCCCATGGTGCCAGTGGCGGCTGAAATACCACGCAAGGAGAAGCGAGAGCGCACCTTCACAGTGAATGCCAGAACTCCATCAAATCGCCACCGCTACGGCTCTATGCCTTCCTCCAGCAACGAGCTCCCTGAGTGTCAGCTAAGTACTTCTAAGTACTTCTCAACTGCAACCCAGAAACCTGCAAGCTTGCTCGGCTCTCGAATTTCGCGGCAACTCCCTTTCGTGATGCAACCAACCAGCTCATGGCCTCAGTGTTCCACCAGGACACAAAAAGCCCCAGCAACTCTCCAGGGACAGGCGAAGCTTAGCCCAAAGCCTGAAAGACCGTCAGTGCTGCCGCGGTGACTGGGCTCAGCTCTGTCACGAACCTTACAGTCAAGTGGCAACATGCGACACGGGGCGCAGCGATTGGAGTCTCGTGGCAGTTGGAATGACAGTTTCCATGTGCTGCAGAGCGTCGTAATAACGCCTGCAATCGCGATAGCTACGGCCGAGTTGAATGGCAACAAGGCGCCTGCACATTCGCGGGTAGGCAAGAAGTGCTACAGTAGCAGTCGAGCATGGCTGGGGCAATGTCAGGCTCAGCGCGTTTAATACATTGTATAAATGAGCCGTAACAATAATGGCAGCCCATGCCTTGCTGCTCCGCTCGGTTGGCAAAGGCTTCACACAGGGATGCAGCACGCCTTGGACCCGTGAATTTGTCTCTAGTCTTTTGTGCAACGGCAAGCTGTTCTATGCCAAAAAATTGGCACTGCCTCTCTCGTCTGGCTAAGCATAAGTGTTTCGTCCAGGTCGCTTGCAAGAGGCTGTTGTCCTTTCTGCCTGGCACGATATCCTTTCAGCTTGAACCATGGTCAAAGCCACCACCTCGGCAAGTCGCTTTTGATCGTAGGTTCAAGGCAGCGGCTCTCACAAATTCATGGACCAACGATCGGATAAGCGCTTTCCTGCAGTGCACGAACTGGAAACATCGGGAAGCTCTGCCGATCCTAATCATAACGGCATAACGCAGGCCATGCCCTCTTATTCAGGTTCACAACTGAGGATACCACCAAGGCAGCTGCTCCGCTTGCATCCACACATTTTTCGCCCAGCTCTTCCCCCATCGGGAAGACCAGAAGCCTCAAGAATGGAGCTGCGATATGAAACAAAACGTGAAAAAGGATGTTCTGCAGAGAGCCGAAGAAACTTTTCACGCTCAGCGTGACTGAAGTACATGCAACACATAGAACTGAGCAGGCATAAATACAATCCCAGAACAATCTGGATGGTTTGGCCCTCGTCCTTGAACATCTTTGAACCAAATCTGACGCTCCTGCTCAGCCCTGAGTCTTGCAAACGGTCCTGCAAACCCCCCCACCAAAAGCAACAACTTGACCCCTAGATTCGCTCCCAGAATCACTCTGCAAGGGCAGCCGGGCAGCAGGAGGGGAGGCAACACTGCTGCAAGCATCACGAAGAGCTTCCTTAGGTTCTGGATGTCAACGTGCCATGCAAAGAGCATATGTCTCGCAAAGTCCGTCGCGCAGCGGGTCTTCATCCCCTGTCCCCTTAAACCTTAAACTTCACAGTCTGGTGTCTGGCGCTTGGACAAAGGGTAGACGCCACCACCAGCATCCACCGCCATGGGAGAGGTCTGCCGGATGCCTGATAGCATCTTCGCATCGAAGTTGTCCGCGGCAATCTTCCTCAGATGCAACCCCAAGCCTAGACTGCGACCACCTCAGGGAAACTTCACTACACTACAACTGGAGGATGATGTCGTGGTGGACATTTTTAGGAGGCTGTTAGTAGAGAACCTGTTCAGGCCAGGGATGTCGTTCAAACGGGAATTTCATGCACCATGTCCATTGCGTTGAAGTTGTTCTGACGCCGAATCCTTGCTTAGAAATTAAGTCCCGGCATGAAAAGAAGCAGAAGAAGGCCGAAAGAGGCTCACCCCTCCAAACCAAAAAATCCCAGCCCCCGCTTTACCCAGCACCAGAACAAATCTTAGAGGGTCCTTACTACCGTTCAGACAGTATTGTCGTAGCGACGTTCCGAAACGTATAAATTTTGCACTACTAGTAGTGCCCTATGTCTAGCTACGTCTGCCGAGCTTTGCCCCAAGGCACTCCACGCTTCGTGCCCACTCCCGCACTTGAAGCATACGTCTTGCAGCCAGCGCAGTAATGACGATGGATGAGAAGGCAACCAGGAGCTGCGCACCATTCTGCACGTAGATCAGCACAGAATGCCTGCACTGCATAACTGCATGACAGAGCTGCAAGGAGCATGACTTTCGCTTTGGTGCTGCGGTTCGGGCTTAACCTTCCCTGCGGCAGATTGGGGCTCATTGGGGAAGCTTAACCGGCTTCGCTGACCATTTCTTAACTTCTGGGGTCTTTCACAGTCTCATGTCGTCAGGGGATCATGTTGTGCCACTGGAAGTCGCTCAATCACTCCCCTTGTTATGTAACAATCTCAACTGCTAGCCTCTCGAATCTCAAGGATTCAGCCCAGAGGCCGAACATAGCAACTGCTGCTGAGTGGAACCGACAGGAAAACTAACTTCCAGAAATACCCATCATTACCCATCCAAGCATCCACTTCACCGCGTTCCACTTGGAGTGTAGGACCAAGCCCTTGGCAGATGCACAGACATGGCTGCTAGCTGCCGTAACTGCCACGAAAACACACCGCCAACAAGCACTGAGTGAAAGCTGCAGTGCAAAGCAGCCGCAAGTCCAAAACCAAAATCTCGGAACAAGGTCTGAGTCTAAGTGGCGAGTATGGCATTGCAGTCTGCAATGCCGACCATGGCCATGAGATACGACTTCCAGAGCGAACTGATGCTAACAAGCTCCTGCAACAAAGCACGGACAACAAGCTTAGGCAGAGCAATGTCCACGCACACTCATCCGCAAATATCCTCCATGGTGGACATTTGCTCGTTCAGCTGCGCTGCGTGGACCTTCGCCTGCGCGACAGATGACCTGGCCAATGACGCCGCAAAACCGCAACGGTTTGAGTAATGGGCTGTGATTGACATGAGCAGCGTCTTACCAAACCTAGACAGGTGGAGGTCCCCAGCAGCGCATCATGAGCAACTTCCGCGCACACGGCTCCCTGAGGGTTCTCTTGGGGCCGCGAGGCGATGTTGCAAATGTCTTGGAAGGGCGCCGGCAGATGCCGGCGCCAGAGGGCATCATGAGCATCAGCTGCTCGTGAGCATCAGCGGCCGAGGGAGCCGCCCCAAAGAACTACACGAGGCATGGTAAGCCACTTCTTTTTAAACAGTGTCCCACCATTCGGTCCATCATGGTCTCCTATGGAATCCCATCACAAGGCCGGTTGGAGACCACGCGGTTCGGTCCCTTGGGTGTCACGAGTTGGCCCATGTTGGCCCGTGGTCTGTCTCCAATCTCACATGGTCTCCCACGGTCTGCGACCATGAGCACAGGGCCAGCCCAGCATGTCATGCGGTTTGCTCTGTCTGCGATCAGCAGCCTGCAGGCCCAGCCCTTTCCCAAAGCGGATAAGCTGGCATTTTGGAGCTAGCCATTTCCCACAGTAGCACGCGCCAGCACTTTGCCCAGAGGAAAGAGGATGCAAGCCCAGAAAACAAGACCCCGCATCCAAGACATCCTTTGAGATTTATGACACTTACGATGGGGCCTTGCTTCACTCTCCGCGAAGACGACGAAGACCGTCAGCACGGTGCCGGCCAAGGGCACGATGACCTCCGTTAGGAGCTCAGAGAGCAAGAAGGGGGCCAAGATGGAGGCGCCGGTCAGAATTCCCACCACCTCGGAGCAAACGGGCGTTTTCCCCTGTCAAGATGATCTCATGCTCGGAGTGTAGATTCTGCACGCCCGAAGCATTTTCAGGAGCTTTGCGCACGCACCCTCCCCCCCCCACCCCTCGCCCCCCAAATTGTCTGAAAGAGTTTTTGCCTAGCAGAAACGTCACTAGATACGACGTAGCTACCCAAAAAACATGGGACATCATGGGACTCTTTTGATGACGCTGACACAGGGTACGGTTGCCGGACTTTCGTGAATGGCGCGGCCAAGATTCAGAGCCGACTCGAAGCCAGCCCTGCTCGTTTCCTCGAACTGTGACCCGAAGCTCCTCAAGGTCTGCCTGCACCCTCTTCACCACCTTCGTGGCAGGAGAGTCTGCGAACTCCTTCTCCGGCTTAGTTTCGGAGAAGATCCGCATGAAGCCTCTGGCAGACGAAACTTTGAAGCTGCACAAGCCCACACGAAACCACACAACTTCTCACAGGCTTAAGGTACCAGTAGGCCTTTCACCAATCTGCCGAATCCACTTCGGAGCTTGTTCGGAGTGAGCATCTTCAGATCCTCTCGAATCCGCTTCCCCACCGTCGGAGATTCGAAGACAAGCTCGTCGTCCTCGCGAGCAACAGGCATCAATGCCGGCATCGCGGCAGCACGCGGACATTGGCCAGTCACTATCACAAACACACCAACTCCCTAACTGGTGCCAATAGGACTCACCCCTACTGCAGTGATCCCAAATGGAGTAGCACCGCCGGCTCATTATGCATACTCTACCTGACTCCTTGACTTCATGGCGTGGACTCAGCATGGGGTCCTTCACGTCCAGTTTCGAATAGGGAGGGAAAGTTTGGCCAAGTTGCTGAGCATCCCTGCCCTCTTTGCGCGTGAGGACTGCACTTTCTCGCGATTCAACGGCCTTCTGAACAGCCCTGATACACACGGCAAGACCAAAAATTGGGAAGATGCCACCGAAGGAAACACTGACAGCTCCCAAAGTTGTTGAAATCAGCGTGTTCGTCAATGCCAGAGCACTTGTCAATGGCAGGCTGCGCGAGCAAGCGGTTGCGACTTGTGCCCATGCATCGGTTCGCGAGTGAACGCGGCGCGTTCGCGCTGCATAGTACTCGCCGAAGGACAACTGACGTGCGCAGTTAGCCAAGACAAAGCCCAGCTCTGCAGTGATCAAGGCATTGGCGGCACAGCAGCGTCGGATCAACGTCTCCGGTAGCAGCATCACCAAGACTGGGATCAGAAGCCAGAGGCGCTGGGCCCTCAACCAGGCCTTCTGTGGTGGCTTGCCACCCACGACACGCGCAGCACCGAGGATGTATTTCTCCACCAGCTCCTAAACGACACGAAGCACAAAAAGCCGCTAAAACGACTCCCCCGAGCTTGTCAACTCGAGCCGGCTGGGTCCTGACGCTCCAGGGCCAGGACCAGCGTCAGCATGGAGATGATGAGGGTCGGCATTTCGCATGCCCAGCCGACAGCACCACCGAAATTGCCAAGGAAACCAACAGCTGCCTGATCAAACAGTGCGCACTGCGTGAAACACCGCAGCAGCTTCACAATGACTGTTATACGCAGGTCAGAACAAGATAAACAAGATAAACAAGCTCCAAGTCGAGAGGCCACACCACCAGCCACTGCGGCAACCGCCACGTATGTTGGGAGCGCCTGTATAGAGAAGTTGCGACAATGTCATGCAACGCATGCAAATCTTCAGCTTGCTCCAATGCTCCAACCCAGTTCCGTTTGGCGTCGAGAAACGGATGCTGAAAGTGCCGCGAGCCCGCAGAGAGCTTCAGCTTCGGCCTTACAAAAACGAGCTCGCATCTTGGACGGGTGTGGCACTAGGGCGCTTGGAACGATGCCGAGTTCCTGACATGGCGCTGCTGCAGCAAGGCTGCATCCTTCTTCGCATACGCAACTTGCTCTCTGCCTGGGCTTGGAACTTTGACGCCACGCATCATTGGCCATGTTGCTGCAATCCACTGAGTTGCGAGCCGACCCTCTCCTGCCAAACCTGAGATGGGAGTGCGTAGGGCTATAGAGTAGCAAAATTAATTTTCAGTGATGTAAGTAGTACATTAACATTATTCACATTAGTTACATTAATGGCATTCATAACATTAGTTACATGAAATATTTCAGTTCATTCATTACTTTCATTACACTGATAACATTAATAACATTAATTCCTTTTTTGCATAATTACATGAATTACTTTCATTGCATTGATTACATGGATTAAGCGATTACATTAATAAAGTAATGTAAGTAACTACGCAAATGCAAAAAACATGCATTAATGTAATTTGCGCAACCGGTTACCTTCATTACATTGACTACAATAATTACATTCCTTGCATGAACTTACAATGATTCCGTATCTAGTACAAAAAGCTAATGATCCTGAGTCTGCCAGAACACTGTGAGGAGGCCAATGCCTCCTGTGACCAGCGGCAGGACGACCTGCGAAGCATCGGCGCCCAGCACTGCCGGAGCCGCCTGAAGCACGGAGGTCTGTTTGCAGCAGAAGCAGAAGGACAAAAGCAGCACTGGAGGGAACGATCGAATGGTGGATCAACATTATTTCATCCGGATTTGGCTACTTCGGGCTTTGCTCTTCAGATTGTGAATGCGAACTCTTGCGGTAGGGCTGGGCAGAGACCAAAAGCTCTAGTTTGTTACGACAACACTTTCGTAGAGCCTGTTTCTGGTCATGGATACCGCCTTACGTGTTTACCTCGCTGTACATACTGGCACAGACTTCGGGACCAATTTTTCGCAACGCTCAATTGACATTAGGGTGCTCTAAAGGGTACTCTTTCTTCTTTCTTCAGACCCTTTCCTGCACGCTTGCAGCAGCCGCGGCAGCAGAAGTTATCCATGGTGACCACTCCTGAGGTATGCCTTGGGTAAGGCCCGTCTGAGCTTCCTGGCATCACTTAAGGCAGAAAAAAGTTTCAAAAGGGTCACAAGAAAAAGAGAACTTAAACAGCACCAAGTGGAAGTGGTATGGAGCAAACATGATCCCAACTCTCCCTGTAATCATCTATCTGTAATCTGTAGTCCTTCTTGACCGGCTCCAGCACATCAACCACCAGCGATTCAGCGAGCGTCGGTATCTCCTCATCCTGAGTCCAATCTCGGAATCGAGCGGCTGAGGTTCTGGGCATTTTCGAGGGTGCCAAGAGGGTGCGCAGCTGTTCCCAACCAAGCGGCAGCGAGCGCATCCCTGCCCATGTTTTTCACTTCAACCACTCCTCAGCTTCTGTGAGAGGCACCGACAGCCGCAATGCAGAGCCAAAGCATCAGTCGCTTCAACCACTCCGCTCGGAACGCTCCAGGAAAAGTCATTGGACAAACGACATCTCATGGCGTCTTCTTCTCTCCAAGTATCTCTGATTCTTTTGGGTCGTTTTGGACTGCGAGACCATGCCAAGCTCTGCAGCGGTAAGGTGAACCTCCCAGAAAACATGGGGCTGCAGAGTGGCCTATGCTGTGCCGAAGTGTGCAGGGTATTTGGGCATCCCCCTGCGCACCCCGCACCTCTCGGCGACCCTCCTTGGACCGGATCTTGAAGATCTTCGTTTCCCCGACTTTCAAGCCAGCGATTTCATCTCGCATGTCGCTGTCAGATGGGAAAACTTCCTTCTGCAAACGGCCAATCTCAACCAGGGACGAGTCTATCGCGCCGCGGTTCCGCGTTACTTTGGGGCCGTACTTCACCATGCGGGCTTCATTCGTTGCTGCGTCAGTTTCTACTCGCACTAGCTTTGTGTTCCTCAGCTGCGCAATACCGTCAAAGCCGAGTACGGGAGAATGCCAGTACGATAGTTCCTTGGCACTAACATGTGCAAAAACCATTCCAAGAGCTGTCCAAGTGTCAATATCGACTGAAACGCTTGCTGAACAGATCCCCACGGAAATAGCACGGCTGCCAGCCGCGAAAATTCCTCAGATGCTACAGCTTCTGTGCCAGTTGCTGCCACGCAACCGCAGGTACAGGCACTTCGGCAACTTTTGGCGACTGACTGGCAATTCCCATTCACCCCCCAGCAGGTCGCAGCATGTCCCAGCGTCAACCACCAAATCAGCAGCACCACGCGCTGCAGCGGACATGGCACTTCGCACCTGAAACTCCCTAGACATGCAGTAGACTGCAGACCATGCTACGACACGTTACGAAACAGTCGACCCTCAGGCCGAAGATCGCACTTTCGCCTTCTGACTTGCTGAGGCCCGGGCAGGTATAATGGCGGCCTCTTGCTGCGCTTGAGCGCAGAACATTTCCGAGAGTGCCGCCTGAAAGCTATTTCCAGACTCAACGTGCTTAAGGATTGCTTTATATGTGGTTTATGCTTTCTGCACAAAGATGCTTCCTAGTCATCTACCAAGCCTGCTTGGACTGCATGGCACATCGCTGTTCTGCATCCGTAAAGTCCTTCTCGCCCAGCAAGAAAGCCACCGCGGCCTCGCCAAGATCGGCTTTCGTCCCGCTTTCGACCCAACTCCGCACAACGCGGCGACGGCTACGCATGCTACACTGTCACCTGAGCAGCGGCAGACGCCGAAATGACGACGGACGCATCGTCCAGAAGCTGCTGCAAGCCCTGCGCAGAAATTTGGCTGCGTCCTATGCCCCTGGCGTACAACGAGAACAGTACTCAACACCCACTGGCAGTTTCGCAGCAAAGGCAATCCTTGTTGAAAAGCAGTGGATTCGTCGATGCCTGGTACAAACCCAAGCCAACTACAATCAACACCAATATTGTCAGACACTTCAGATGTCGAGCGCCCGGCCAGGCTGAAATCGACTCCGCTCACCTTGCCAGTGGCACAACTTGACATCCAAGCGGCATGTCTTGGAGTATGGTTAGGTCCTAACGGTTAGGTTTCGCAATGTTTCGCATCCATCGTGCCACTTACCTGTTCCTTGTTGCCACATTTCTTTCATGACTGTTTGCCGACACAGATCTTGGATGGTCTTCGTGGCCATATTGGCCATGTTTTGCATGGGTTAGCAATTCTCAAGCAGCACTCTTTTGCAAAGTGCGGTTCAGGAGTTTGAAAGAGCAGGAAGCTCATTGACGTCGGATTTGGCTTTGGTGCCATCTGAAGCAAGTTTCGTTCCGTCCATCATCTCCTGAATCTCCTCTACGAGCGCCTGTGCTTGGAGCCGAGTTGAAGCTGTATGTCTGATCCGACCTTCAAGACGCTGAATCTGCTCTTTCTTCTTGATCTCGTCTTGAAGATGCAAGTGTCCTGCACCAACCCATGGACGGCTTTCTCAACTGCCTCCTTGAAGCCATGTTGTGTTTCACCTGGTGAAATGTCACATAAACTTTGAAGAATGAGGATGGGTCAGCGTTGCTGACGGGGCAGGCCGGTGACCCCTCCTCAATAGACCAGGTGCACTACGGCGATGCCTTGTGACCCATGCTCACTTGGGTCTTTGGGTGCCGGCGCTGACGGGAAGAGCTGGACGGGAAGAGCTGGTGACCCAGTCTCATGTCATTGTCCATGTGCAGCAGGTGCTGCAGCAGCCCTGTGCTGATGGGAAATGTTTGTGACTCATGCGTTGCAGGTGCTGCAACAGCTGAACCTGAGTGAGTTGGCGTTGACATTATGAGCAGGTGACCCGGTCAGCACAGGAACGGGCGACGCATCATCTAAAGGATCAGCCTACTGACCATACGGCTCCTCCGTCGTGATCGTGCAGTTAGGTGGTTTGGCCTTGGGTATGGTAGGCACCGATTTTGAACATGATCTCTTTCAATGACCGCCTTGTTCATGTCCTCAACGATGTTGCCCTGCAAACACGCCAAGCGTGTCAGCGAGGGCATGTGATCCTTCTTGTCTTCCATCAAAGACCATTTGCCATTTTGTCGTGCATGCGATGCCAGTTAGCTTTTGAGCAAGGCTCTTGGTGCTGACATATAGCTAGTCGCAGGAGCTCGCTAACTTGTGATCCGTTTGCAAACCACTATGCTCTCAGCTGGCTCGCTAGGTATATAGAAGGAGACCAAGAGCACAGATGTCAAGCCCCGGGGATCTATCTCCAGCAGGGCAAGTGATTGGACGGGCTGCGGCTGCGTTGACGAACTGGAGTTCTAGCCCCAGCCATTGCAAGGGAAAACAAGGGCCCCGTTGCAAGGCCACATTCTTTCATCAAGGATGCGGTGATATCAGTGGATTGACAGCCAAGATGTTTCTGTGGTCCGGGCAAAAATTCGTCAGATGCTCCTAGACGCCTTTGGCAGCAGCGAGGCCATCGCCCAAGCGTGTCCCGTCCCTGCGGTTGAGACCTTTTCCTCCGCCACCACGTCTTCTGTTGCTCCCCCGGTGGTCCGTAAGTGCACGATGAAGGAGAAGTGTATCAAGATGATTACGGTGCCTAGCATGTATAGTGTGTGAATTTTGCCAAATCACACTCACAAGCCCGTCAGCACTGCCCGTCTGACATGGCACTGAGACTGCACTGAGTTTCATATCACGGGTTCTGAAGTATGGGTGGGGTGTCGCGGGTTAAGAGGTGTGGGCACGGACATGGAACACAGTCTCGGAAGACAACTCTTACCAATCGCTCCAAGGCACAATAAACGGAATCGGCACGATACAGAAGAAGATGGTGGCAAGAACTACGTTTCTTTCATCCTGGGAAGCGTCATTGCGTGTGGGGCAGTTGTGCAGCAAAAACCCCCGATCAAGTCCGGCCTCCTGTGTTGGCTCTTTGGCCCTTTTGGGTAGTCGGCCTGCTTCCCAGTCACTCAAGGCAGCGCTCTGGATGCTCTCATCTAGAACCAAGGCTGCTCGTGTCGACACCTCGGCCCGGCTTCTTTGGAGTGGGGTTGCAATCACTTGGCGCCCGCAAGCTGAGGCCGGGGCATAGGTAAGGCTTGTCAGGACAGCTCCGACAACCGAAGTTGTTGCCAGCAGAATGAGGATAATGTTGTCCCCTGCAAGCAAAGTGGAAAATGACTCTCCTTCAGGGAGGAAATCGCCAATTTTCTCGTTGAATATCCTCAAGCTGACACAAGCTGCTGCTGTGATTGCGGTCAATCCAACACCAAACGGAAAGAACACCGTCCGTGCTTCTGCCCCAGCCAGGCTCGACTCGGCCAGGGCAGCAATTCTGGAAGCTTGCGCGTAGTTGTACTTGGACTTTGCTCTGTATCTGCCAGCTGCACTCTCTGACAGGGATGAATAGAGAAAGATGACGGTTGTCAGTGGCGGCAACCACACAAACAATTCCGGCGAAGCTGCAGCAAGAGTTGCCAAAGCAGACAATCCCGCAGCACTTCCTGCGGCCAGAATGGTCTTCATGGAAAGCAGCGGAGTGGACATACGAAGCGACTCTTGATCCAACTCAATGGACTCGATGGCAGCTCTAAGCTTTCGGTTCTCCACAGGCCGACCAGTGTCAGTTATATCTGTAACCTCCTTCCTTGCCCGCTCGACCACAGTGGGATCGGTGGGCTTCTCCACTGTAAGGGTTTCCGCGGACGCTTCAGCCACCGCCCTGATGGGCCTTCCACGACTTGAACCTGGAGCTCGTCCGACCAAGTAGCCAGGATGGTGAGCGGCGGGCGTCTTCACCACAATGAAAGAATTCACCGCGGACAGCGCTAGATACCCAAAGGCAGTGCTTATGAGTGCGCGAGGCAGCGCTCTGAGCGCTCTCATATTGGACCTCCCCCAAGTCCTCCCTCCCCACTGCCAGACTGTGACAGAGCACTGAGCCAAAGTAAGACCGACGAATCAAGGGGGCACAACCGCATCATGTATCTGCAGCAGTTCACTCTCATGGCCAACGTGGCTCCAAGGCTATGCGATTCATGGCAAACTCCTATGAACGAGCTTCGGTACAGACCCTGCACATTTTGCCGCACGATCTCATGTTTCGCCGCGAGTGTCACCAGTCTGCGAACGGATCTGGCTCCTGCACTGAGCACTTCGGAGGTAGGCATCCTTTCTGTTCTGTGAAGTTTCGGATCACGAATCATGCTATGCTAGGTCCTCACACTGCACTGGCAGTGCACCACGTCTTGGTCGACAAGGGTCGGCCGCAGCGGAGGCTGCGGTGTGTCCCAATGTGGTGTCGAACGATGGTCCTGGCATCAAAAATGCAATTGAATGTGCAGGGATATGTGCACACACTATGATGGGAGCCCTCACCTCGTGCTCCGTGTGAGTCGACCGCGTCCCAGTCGACTGATGCGAAGAACTCCTTGTGTCTCACTTCAACGCCGAACCCGAGTCGGTCCGCAGGATTGATCTGGCAGAAAGAATCGGCAGCTTCTTTGGCTGCACTACCTGAGGCGAACCAGAGAAGAGGAACAGCTCGGCGAAAAAGTGTACGCAGATGGTACGATGCTTCAGTGCGGACTTGCCATGACTTTCCCTTTTGTGCACACCAAATTGAACCTCTGGAGTGTGACTCAAGTGCTGCCTAAGAGGCTTGCCGTGCAATCACTGGGCCATGGGAGGCCTGGACTTGCTAGCTGTGCTTGCAAAGCCTGCAAGCCCTCCAGGACAAGATCGTCCTGGTGTCCGAACGGTGGCTGTCCAGTGAGCATCTCGTACAGCACAACTCCCAAGGACCACCAGTCTGCCGCAGGGCTATAGCCCGTGAGGGCGGCAAAGCAAGGGTGTGCAGATCGCAGGTTCTCCAACCAAGTGCCGTCTGCACAGCAGATAACTTCAGGAGCCATGGTGCGCAAGGTTCCCACAGCTTTATCACACCAAGAACCATTGAATGCAAAGCCGTAATCAATCAACTTCACGCGTCCAAACGACTCCTCTGACACTGACACCATCACGTTGGTGAGCTTCAAGTCTCTGTACAACCAACCAGCAGCGTGTAACCATCTGAGAGCACCTGCAATCTCTGCAGCATACCACTGCGCTTGTGGCTCAGGCAAACAAGCAGCTGCACGCACATGTTCCAGCAAGTGGGCGCCCTCGACCAACTCCATGGCTAAACAAATAGCAAATGAGGTCGCGAAAGAACTTACCAGCGCAGTCAGCGCAGGGCTAACCGACGCCCCGCGTTCTTTGGACTGAGCCACCTTTCAGGGTTCGGATCGTGACATTATTAAATTGTTGACGTTGCAGGCTTTGTTTAAGCAATGACATGAACGGTGCATGACTTCGCCTCGCGAAGTACATCCCGCTCAGGGTGCAGGAGGCGCGGGTCTGCCAGGTGCCGCGGGACTTCCTCACAGGGAAAGCTCTGTTCATCCCTACAATTGAATCTCTTATGTATGACAAAAAGGCAACCAAAAAACTAAAAAATTGCACAGCTGGCCGTCTGTTCCTTGCTCTGTCACGAGTGGAAAAGAGAAAGTCGGCAGGTCCAGAAGTCGGGCAAGAAGGCATGTGCGCGCGGGCAGGAAGCTGCCGACAGGGCAGCGCAAAAGTGCGGAGACTGCTGCAAAGTGGCGGTCGGGACGCACGGTGATCTGTGGAGCTCGGCAGGATGCAGTGCGAAGCATTGCAGAGCAGTTCAGAGTGGAGCGTGAGAGCAATGTCTTGCAAAGCATGTCGGAGTGGTGACTGAAAGATCACAAACCACTCAAAACCTGACTGTTGCCACAGCCCGTCCTTCAAGGCCACGTTCCTGCCAGTCTCCCTGCAACGCGCAAGCCAAACAGCACCGAATGCACCCTCGCCAAGGCCTCAGCAAAGAAATGATTCTGCGAATCATACCCCAACACGCAAGTGCTACACGCCCGCAAACATTGCCTTCAGAAAAGCTAACATGACACCATGAAGTCTCGAGATACAACTTGGGATCGAAGTGCTGAGAGTGCTTTAGGTGTCATGTCCAATTGGAGGACTTTCTTGCACGTTCGCCGCCCAAGCAGTCTGTTTTCGAATGACTCGAAGCCTCAAACGATGCTGGCAAAAGGCTAACCTTGAAAGCTGAAACAGGATGGACTCATTGGGCAGGGCCAAACCAATTTCGACACAATGCACATCAACCCTTTCATTTACATTGGTCTGCATGTACAGAACTTGACAGGCGAGTCCAGGAATGCAAGCTCGCAGAGGGCTCTCTGCATCAGGGTGTGGAAGCTAGAGTGTCCGCGCCGACTCAGCACTGCCGATTCTAAGCTAGGTCATCAGACCACGGGTTGATGTACCTCTGGAGAAGCACGTATCAGTGTTTGAGAAGATGCAGCAAAGGGTGCCAGCAGGCTTCTGTGGGGCAACGAAGCCGACGACACCATCGTTGGTTACACGATCCTCTTCGACATCCCCAAAACGCTATACTGACAAGGCAACGTTGCTGATGGTGCGAATGTTGGTGTTGATGTTGATACACAACGTTGCTGATGTTGTGTTAGCAGTGCTGCTAATCTGTTGCTCAAGATCGCGAGCATGGTGTTGCCGAGAATAATGCTGATGCTGATGCTCTTGTCCGCCGTCTGCAAGCTGCCGGCTGCCGGCTGCCGGCTGCCGGCTGCCGCTGCCGCTGGCAGCGCTGCTGCTACTGCCGCCGCCGCCGCTGCTGCTGTTCGTTTTTTGTTGGTGATGTTGCTGTTGCTGCAGTTGTTGTTGCAGTTGCTGCTGCAGCAATTATTGTTGCAGCTGCTGCTGCAGCTGTTCTTGCGGTCGTTGTGCAGTCTTTTGTTTGAACACTAATACTAGCAATCCTTGCGCCTGCAGCATCATGCAAGGATGCAAACCTTGCAAGTAAGAGCTGCATGCGTGTAGCCAAAACTGTAGGGATCCGGCAAGAGAGCTTCTCAAAGGGGGTGGGGCTAACCGCAAATGGTGCCAGATGAGTCGGGTCTTCAGCGCGACCGCAAGACTCTGCATCGGAGTCATCATCACTGTCAGAGTCGGCCATCAGCAAATACACTCAAGGCCGGCTGAGGGAACTCTGACAATGAGAGGACTTGGACTGTGCTGAATATGCTGCCGCGGCAGACATCCCAAATGCTCTCATTTTTGAGCCCAGAGTTCCGGCTTCGAATCACCGATGCGAGGTGCGGCAGCTGCAAACTGTGGAAGGCACACGACTCATTATTGCAGTGCAGGGTGTAGACTGTGCAGGCCAGGGATGTCCCTTTTTGTCTGATTTCCTTGAAGGAAATGCTTCTCGGCGCCGCTTCTACGCATGGCTACGCTTTAACGTAATTTTGTACACAGAGCGATGAACGACCTACAAGACATGAATTCATGCCTTGAACAAGGCCATCCCAAGGCCATCCTAAGGCCTAAGCAGCCAAAAGAGTATTTCACGGTGCCATCCTACACCTGCAAGGGCTTTGTGGTGAGCTGTAAACAGCCACAGGACAGATGTGGCACTTCGGCATTTCGAAAGTGTAAGAAGCAACCGACGAAAGAACTCGTTCGACTATGTTCGACTCCTTCATCGTTTTACGTAAGAGTGACCGAAGTTGTGTCCAATGACATCTCTGCCCTCAATCGGGCCTGCACTGTGAATGAGCAACCAAGCCCCATGTCAGCCGATGCCTCAAGCATCGGCGGAGCTCGGGGCATCTTGGCATCTTAGTGCTCCCTCGAGTTGCACGGGGCTCAGATGGGCTCAGCATACATGAGAGTTCGGAGGAGATGCTTCCCGCTCTGGCTCGAAAAGCCTTGGTCTGTGCCACAAACTGTGCAAACTGTGCGAAAGACACAGCCTCCCCACTCAGCTGCCGACCGATCAGACCGGCGGAGCGACCCCGAGTCCTTTCCGGAGCAGCTGCATCCGAGGTGTGAGGTTCTCGCTTTGGATTCACAAACCGCACGGACGCAAGGAGTGTCAGATGTTAGCTGTGGGATGGGCGAAGAAGATATTCGGGCTGGGAACGCATGGGTGAACGAACGCAGGGTGCGAGATGGCGGGGTGGCACAAGCACGGACGAGTGCAGAGGACGGACGACCGTAGGGTGCAGGATGGGGGATCGTGCCGCGAGGACGGACGAAGACAGGGCACGGAATGATCCAGGGGCGGGGTTCTTATGGAGCCTCCCACGGGCAGTTGGGATTGGAGGTTCTTCCTGTCCACAATACAATGTTGCGGCGACCATGCTGGTCCTTTGGGAATCGGCAAAATCGCTCCCAAGACATCGCGACCGCAATTGCGCCGCCAGCACCTTGCTAATCGCGATTGCACTGTGGACATGCTGTGGATAGAGCTTCAACTTAGTTTCACCGAGGCCGCGTCTGAGCAGGCCCAACGCAGCTGCAAGACGCGACGCCTTGTGCGAGGCCTCGTCGGTTGGTGCCTTCACCACGAGGCCACCGGCAGCCAGGCTGTCGAGCAGCACCTGGCACATCGCAAACACACGGCGATGTTCGGCCAGCTCCGATCCAAATTCGTCAGCGCGACTTTGCTGCCCCAGCCACGGAAATATATCGCAGCAGAAACTAAACAGCCTCAAGGATGAGCTATAAGGTCGCTGTGATACACTCATTTTCTACTGGGCATCGGGCCAGTCCCAGCGGCTGCAGCAAACACCTTGCACAAGCCCTGGAGCTCCATGCGAAGATACCCAAAATTGAGCCCCACCTTGAGCCCACGCAGGCAGGTCCTGGATGCCAGGGGCTTGCATCGTCTTCACACGACAAGATCTTGCAGCGAAACCCGGCTGCTTCTGACATGGAATTTGACACGCAGTCCTCGTGGCCGCTGTAAAAGCCGTCAGGACGTTCGGAACGATGAGCGGGAGGAGCTCGGGCTCTGTGACTTTTTGCGTCTTTGCCTCGAGCTCAGCACACGGCTCCCTTCACGACTTTCCAGCACCACTCAGCCTATACACAGAGATCATACACACACACACATATAATTACATATAACTATATATATATGTATCTATGTAATTCTATGTGGCTGATACCTTTCGGGTGCTTTTGGCCTAGCACAAGTATAAATATGTTACACCATATTGAAATTGAGATGCTTCAGCTGTGCACTAGCTTGGCTAACACAGTTACGATGTCACGATGTCTGACAACATATGACAACATCTTGCTCTCGTATGCGTCTTGCATTAAGCATGTTCGTAAGGATGCAAATCACATAGCTACCTTCACCAAGAGTTTGGAGAACTTGTGTTATAGTGTTGTGCTTTGTTGAATGCTCGCTCGTTCCATTCATGCAAGACATCATGACATGGATCATCCCCCCGGGCATTCGGTGGTGCACCAACACTTTGACGGGAATGGTCTTAACTTCGATGTGATGCAGATGCACTGAATAAACGGACCGCTACCCCATTGCAAAAGCATGCCATCGGCGACATGGTTGCATCAAAGAATTTCAACCGGTCAAGAACGGAGACATTTCGGTCACATTGGATCTGACGATTGGCAAAAAGGCTGGGACGCAGCTTGCCAGTGAAAATCCACGTCGGACGCTGTGCCAACAGCCTAAGCACCGGTGCGCCACGGCACATCACCCACCACCGTGGAGCTGAAGAGGTACTCCAATTTCAGCTTCAGCCTGCCCAGCCCGCGTCGCTGCCAGCTCTTGCACTCAAACTCCTGCCCAGAACCCGGCCACTTGTAGTTCCGGCGCGCGCACGCTGAGAGAAAGAATGGGCGACGACGTTCGATAAGGCCACGTGCCCTTGCCACTTTGCGCTCCAGGCACGCACCGGGACGGATGACCGCGCATGTGTGCGCTGCACCTGCCACACGGCCGGATGCGGTTCTCGACAATTTCACTGGACGGAAGAAGCACGCACGACGGCCGGCCTTGTTGACGAAGCTGCGCGATCTAGCGTCAGGATATTTCATGGCCGCCCATCCACTTACTGCTGTTTGCTTTATTCTCACGCATAGTCTCACGTCCGAGCTTAGCTTACTCCTGCCGGAAACGGCAAGCAATCACAAAAGGTTTCATATGCCAGCTCAACCCAAGAGCTGCTCGAGGGATGAGCAACTGTAGTTGCTGCAGGATTTGAGGAATCGAAAAGCTAGCGAGACAACGCATGCGCCATTTCATCTCCAGGGCTCACGCTGAGCCCACCTATGGAGGCTTGTACAGTACAACCTCTCTCCTTGCTGCCTTCAGGCTACAGCACATCCGGCAGGAAGTGGGGCTTCAGCGTTTTGCGGGCATCTGCGGTACAGGTCTGCATGCACAGCGAAACGACCCAGCTTACACATCTGACAAGTGTGGCAAGTACCCAGTCTAGATTTCCCAGTTCGGCCCAGATCTGTGCTTGCGCAGCGTGGGGCTGGGTTGGCGCTTGCAATTCGCACACTAACATTCAGCTGGCGCAACGTGGTTAGTGTTGCTGTTGGGGCGGGAAAGTCGCCGGGAAAAACAGTCAGAAAAGCTGCAAAGGCAGAACATCAAGCTGTAAGTCTAAGACGTCGTGGTGGTAGTGGGAAAGCAAAGCAGCAGAATTCGGGGAACTCAAGCCCTAAACCAGTACATCCACTTGATCTCCCAGACTTGCGTCCACGGTTCCTGAATCAGCTCCCCAAGCCCAGTGCCCCAGTGCCTCATTCCTCTGCTGCAAGAAGCGTAGAATCCTGCACAGACAAACTGGCACAGCGACTTCGCGTTGACTTCGCGACAGCAGAATGAGGGCGCACCAGGATATGGGAGGCGCGCCAGGGCACCCATCCTGCAAACCATCTCAGACAGGCTCGGCAGGGTAGAGTAGTGACAGGATAGTCTTTTTGCCGGCCTCCAAAGGCCACTCACACCCTGCTGGCCTACCGAGATGGACAGAGTACTTCAACTGCCACTTCACCACTGTCGCCTTGCCTGGCACAGCCTGACTTGGGGACACCTGACCACTGAGATATCTCTGAGCATCTGGTGCCCATGTCCAAGACTATATAACACCGAGCCTTCTTCAGGCGCTACCAATGTCGGGACGGCCTCGTTTATCACGCATCCGCATGCATCTTTCAAGTCAGTCTTGAGAAATACGGAAGAAACCATCCAAGCCCAGCTGCCGGTGGCAGCATCACGTGCTGGAGAGGAAACGGCAAGAAGCTGAGAAAGCTCCTTCCCCGTAGTGTCTCTCCAGGCGCAATTTGATGCAACATGTGATAACAATTAACAGGTAACATATTAGCGTTCATAGCGTTCAGAAGAACGACAATTGCTGTCTCTTGCATCGCACGGTCCTGCACAGCACCATGTTGAGGAAGTCGGGGCCCATGCTCTGTACAATTTCACGCACGGCTCCTCGAAACAAGCAGCCTCATGACCCTTAAGACCATCGCAACACAACCAATCTGCAAAGCCTTCGGAGGATCCACTCTGCATTGCCAGCAGCTGCACGCGGCCCTGCGACAAAGCTGCCGAATTCATGACAGCTCTTCGCTGGTGCTGTTTGCACTGGGCAAGCGAGAGCTCAGGCGAGTACCCACTTGCGGACAGCATTGGTGACCGGCGACTGACGGTTGCTTGAAGTCACTTGACAATCGTCGATGGTTCAAACAGTTCAAACTACCTTCAAACTGCATCCAGGAGGCGTCATCATGAATGAGATCGAAGATTCGTCTGTTCAGAAGGAAATCTTGCACCTACAGGTCGGTATGGATGCCCATGCAAACGAAACATGAACGGATCAAGCGGCTCAAGTCTCATCAAACTAACTCTGCAGTGAAGCTGAAGAACAGTTTCCTTAACTTGGCTGATGTGCTGGCCGTCTGCTGTATTAAGCGTTCCGCGAACTTCAGCACGGCAGGCTTGAATCTCAAGCGGAGGTGAGACTTCGGCCCATGGAGAGCACATGAGAGTGCAACTAGAGCAGGGGGCTGTGGATTCCTTGCCCAGTGTGTTCACATGAGCTCACGCGTACTTCGGGTTCTCGGGCATGTCCATGTTCTCCTTCACAAGGCGGCAAAAAACGGTAGTCTCACTCTTTTGCT